CTTAAATATATATATAAACATATATCTTTATTTGTCTCTGTCTCTACTTAAATATATATATATAAACATATATCTTTACTTATCTCTGTATCTACTTAAATATATATATAAACATATATCTTTATTTGTCTCTGTCTCTACTTAAATATATATATATATATAAACATATATCTTTACTTATCTCTGTATCTACTTAAATATATATATAAACATATATCTGTATTTACGTCTGTCTCTATTTAAATATATATATAAACATATATCTTTATTTACGTCTGTCTCTATTTAAATATATATTTAAATATCTTTTTATTTTCTTGTTTTGTTTGTCTCTCAGATTCCAGAGGGCGATTGGTTCTGTCGGGGCTGCGGTTATTGCAGTTGCTGCGGCTCTCAACTCACAGAAGAAGAAGCTCTAGTGAGGGTTTAGGGTTTAGGGTTTAGGGTTTAGGGTTTACCCCTCTAGGGTATAGGGTTTAGGGTTTAGGGTTTAGGGTTTACCCCTCTAGGGTATAGGGTTTAGGGTTTACGCCTCTAGGGTTTATTGCTTAGGGTTTAGGGTTTTAGTTTTACTCTTTTAGGGTTTAGGGTTTAGGTTTCAAGGGTTTACGGTCTACGGTGTAGGGTGTAGGGTTTGGGTTTCATTGTTGAGTGTTTAGGGTTCAGGGTTTAGGGTTTAGGGTTTAGGGTTTGTGTATATGCAAACAAGGCTTATGTTGTCTTGCTGAAGAACCAAATGCACTGTTTCATATCTATGACTTTGGGCTTATCCAGGGTTTAGGGTTTAGGGTTTAGGGTTTAGGGTTTGCGTTGTGTGCAGGACCCGAGTTGTTTTTATTCAAGTCGTCACCGCATTTGTTTAGGGTGTCGCTCGGATTTGTTAAGAAGTCTAAAAGGACGAAAAGACAAAAGTTTTGCTGCCGCTTCTTTTTCTGTTTACTCTGCATGCAGCAAAACAAACACAAAAAACAAACTCTGCGAAGTCTGCATACAGCCGCTTCAAGACACAGACAATAAAAATCAAAGACGCACCACCGTCTTCTGCGCACTCTGCAATATCAGTAAACCCTAAACCCTAAACCCTAAAGTTCAAACCCTAAACCCTAATTTTTAAACCCTAGAATTGAAACCCTAAATATGAAACCCTAAACCCTAAAGTTCAAACCCTAAACCCTAAAGCGTAAACCTTAAACCCTAAACCTTAAATTTAAAACCCTAAGCCGTAAACCCTAGAGTTTAGCTTTTATTTTCTTTGTTCTGCTGTGGAGACGAGGCTGTTGCAGCGGAGGCGCAGCTGTATGGCCCCCGAATGCAGGGTTTAGGGTTTAGGGTTTAGGGTTTAGGGTTTAGGGTTTAGGGTTTGGGGTGTATGCTCAGGTGTACACGCGGAGTGTGCACTTCCAGGAGAAACCCCTAGCGAATTTATTTGTTATATTTGTAACAACTTAAACGAAGACTTCGAGGCGGAAGCAGAGAAAACCTCCAATAAACCCTAAACCCTAAACCCTAAACCCTAAACCCTAAACCCTAAAGTGCAGGTTTGTTTACAGGTCTTCTGAGGACTTTGTTTTGGTTTTATTTTAATTAGAGGCTCCAATAAAGCCTCCAAACTTATACAAAAAACAAAGAGCTGCCTATACACCTGGAGCACGACGCTGTTGCTGCTACGCTGTTGCTGCTGCTGCAGCAGCAGCAGCAGCAGCAGAAGCAGCAAGTTGTATAGGCAGATCTAACGTAGCATGCATGAAGCAGCAAATAGACAGCAGCAAATGAAGAAGCAGGTAGTAAGAGCACCTTTTAGAGAAGTTGAAGTGTACGTACACCTCGTGCATGTGCAACGGCATACACCTATAAATTATTATCAAATATGCTGCTGTCAGCAGCAGCAGCTGCTGCTGCAGCACGTATAACATATGCAGCACCAGCAGCTGCTGCAGCAGCAGATACAACTGCAGCAGCAACTGAAGCAGATACAACTGCTGCAACAGATATAGAAGATGCACCAGCAGCTGCAGCAGCAACAGCAGCTGCTGCAGGAGCAACAGCAGCAGATACAACTTCAGAGCATATAAAAGGTGTAGCAGCGGCAGCAGCAGACGCACAAGCTGCAGCGGCTGCAGCAGATAAAGCAGCTGCAGCAGATACAGCAGCTGCAGCAGCAACTGAAGCAGATACAACACGTGCAGCAGTTTCATGCAATCTGCTGCAGCCTTGAGGGTTTGGGGTGTCGTAAACCCTAAACCCTAAACCCTCGCCATCGGATGAGGTTTACGTCTTGCTGAGGCGCAGCACTTCCTCTGCGATTGTATGATATAAATACTCCAATTAAAGACTGAAATAAGGGTTTAGGGTTTAGGGTTTAGGGTTTAGGGTTTAGGGTTTGGTATGTGTGTGGGGTGTATGCATGATTAGGGTGTCTGTTGAGTTGAGTAATGCAGACTAAGCCCCTTGTCCTGTTGCTGCTGTTGCTGCTGCTGCTGTTGCTGCTGCTGCTGCTGTTGTTGTTGCTGTTCCTTGTATAGCAGCATCAGCAGCAAATAAAATAACAGTAAAAGTTAGTGCATGAAGCAGCGAGAAGTATAATAAAGCAAATAAACGCGTCTCTCTCGAAGACAGCAGCATGCGGCCCCAGATGACTACGACTCGCTCCCATACACTCAGCTGCTGCTGCTGCTGCTGCTGCTGCTGCTGCTGCTGCTGGTGTCTCCCGCTGCAGGGAGGTGAGAGTTGAGTATGCCCTAAGATGCTGCGGCGTGTCTCTGCTGCTGCTGCTAAAAGAAATACAGCAACAGCAGCAACCCCTCTTACAAAACCAGAAGACTGCCTCCTGATCTTCATTGCTGCTGCATGCACCTTGCTGCTGCTGCTGCTCCGGCTCCTGCTGCTGCTCCTGGTGCTGCTGCTGGTGCTGCTGCTGCTGCTGGGCCTGTAGACTAGAGGCAGCGGTGTGCCGCTGTCTGTCTCCTTATAGAGTGTCTTGCTGTCTCCCGCTGCCTCCGCGCTGCTGCTGCTGCTGCTGCTGTTGCTGCAGCTGCTGCTGCTGCAGCAGACCTCGTCATACACCCCAGATCCCCAGCAGTACCCATCTGGCGCTGCTGCTACACTCAAGCTGTTGCTGCTGCTCGCTGTCCGCAGCAAATGCAGCAGCTTTGTCTTCTCTGATTGCAGCTGCTGTATCTGCTGCTGCTCGTCTACTGCAGCAGAGCGCCACCTGTCTCTCTCCTGTACGTACACCCCAATTAAATAAATAAATTAATATTATATAATAAATAATTAAATAAACAAATAAATAATAAAATAAATAAAGGAACAAACAAGTGTAAGCAAACACACAAACAAACAAAACAAGGTGAGTGTACACCCCAAAACAAACAAGTCAATAAATAAATAAATAAATAAATAAATAAATAAATAAATAAATAAATAACTAGGTGCATGTACACCCCAAACACCACCCGCGGCCTCTATAATAAGCGCATAACAAAACGCAAAAGGAATAATAATGTAACTGGCTAGCGAGGGTTTAGGGTTTAGGGTTTAGGGTTTAGGGTTTATTTGGGGTGTATAGGCACCTTTTCGGTGTCCAGCAACCTCATTTTATATGCATCTCTCTGGTTTGCTATAAGCTGTAGCAGAGGGGGCTCTACTCTGTTGCTTTGCTGCTGCTGCTGCTGCTGCTGCTGCATCTCCTGCACCAGCAGCGCATGCAGCTTCTCTTCTGTCTCCTTCCTAGCAGCAGCGAGCTGCGCTGCTGCTGCTGCTGCTGCTGCTCTTGCTGCAGCAGCATCAGCAGCAAGTCGCTTGTTCTCTGCAAGCAGAGAGGAGACATCCTGCTGTCTCTCTCTAGGACACAAGGAGACAGCAGCAGCAGCAACAACAGCAGCAGCAGCAGGAGCAGCAGAAGCAGCAGCAAGACGACTGCGAAGCTCCGCCACCTCAGCCTAAACCCCCACAGCAACACTCATCGCAACCAAGGGTTTAGTGTTTAGGGTTTAGGGGTTTTAGGACTTAGGGTTTAAAGGGTTTAGGGTTTAAAGGGTTTACGGTTTAAAGGGTTTAGGGTTTTTAGGATTTATTGTTTTTAGGGTTTAAGGCGTCTAGCTAGGGCTTATGGTGTTTAGGGTTTACGGTTTCTAGGGTTTAGGGTGTTTAGGGTTTAGCGGGTTTAGGGTTTAGGGTGTCTAGGGTTTAGGGTTTAGGGTGTCTAGGGTTTAGGGTTTAGGGTGTCTAGGGTTTAGGGTTTAGGGTTTAGGGCGAGACCTCTGATGGTCGTTTGTTTAATTCTGTTTTAAGAGTCTCTGCTTGTTCTTTTAATGCTGCAATTTGTCTCTGTCTCTCCAGACAAACTGTCTCCTGTCTCCTCGCTGTCTCTGCATGCCTGAGGTGTACGTACACCCCAACAAAGCAACGCATACGCACACAGCAGCAGCAGCAAGAGCAGCAGCAGCAGAAGCAGCAGCAACAGGAGCAACAGGCGCAGCAGCAGCAATAGGGATAGCAGCAGCAACCGCGGCAGCAGCAAATGCAGCAGCAACTGCAGCAGCAACTGCAGCAGCAACAGCAGCAGCAGCAGCAGCAGTTATTGCGGGAGTGGGTGAACTTCTTACATTTGTCTTTCTTTGTTTATTTCTTCCTCCAGCGACTTCTCTGCTGCTAATAACTCTTTGATGCGCTCCTCAGCCTTCTGCAACGCCCGCTGCACAGCAGCAGCAGCAACAGCAGCAACAGCAGTAGCAGCACAGCAGCACCGTTAGCAGCAAAAGCAGCAGAGTAGCAAAAGCAGCAGGAGCAGCAGCAGCAGCAGCAGCAGCAGCGAGAGTAGCAGTAGCAGCAGCAGCAGCAACTGCAGCAGCAACAGCAGCATGCATGTGTATTTGTATGTGTTTCTGTTCAATCTCTTCTCTGTCTCTCTCTCTCTGTCTCTGTCTTTATATCTTTCTCTGTCTCTATATCTGTCTCTGTCTCTGTCTCTGTCTCTGTCTCTCTGTCTCTCTCTTTATATCTTTCTTTGCCTCTGTCTCTCTGTCTATCTTTGTCTCTGTCTCTGTCTTTATATCTTTCTTTGTCTTTGTCTCTGTCTCTGTCTCTCTTTTTGTTTATTTGCTTCTTTTATCTGTCTCTGTCTCTTATCTGTCTCTTCTTTTATCTGTCTCTTCTTTTAAATATATTGTTTTATTTATTTGTTTATTTTTTCTCCTTTATTTTATTTTATTTTATTTTATTTTATTTTATTTTATTTTATTTTATTTTATTTTATTTTATTTGTCTGTATGTGTTTGTGTGTATGTAAATTATACGAGTGATGCCTTTGTATTATATTTATTATCTTTGTCTTCGTCTTTATAATCTTTTTGTTTATTATTTATTTGTTTATCTTCTTCTTCATCTTCATCTTCTTCTTCTTCTTGTTCTTCTTCTTCTTCTTCTTCTTTATAATCTTTTTGTTTATTATTTATTTGTTTATTATTTATTTGTTGTTCTTTATAATCGTTTTGTTTATTGTTTATTTGTTTATTATTTATTTGTTTATTATTTATTTGTTTATTATTTATTTGTTTATTATTTATTTCTTTATTATTTATTTGTTTATTATTTATTTGTTTATTATTTATTTCTTTTGTTTCTTTTCTTCTTCTTCTCTCTAACTCCAAATTAGCAGACAAACATCTGCACTTCTTCTCTAAGTCTTCACGAGCCTGCAAATAAATATAAATATAATAATAATATAAATATAATAATATAATATAATATATTATATTATATTAT